GTTTCGAAAGGACTGATTTTTGCTGGTTTTGGGAAATAAAGTTGATTGCTCTGTTGTCAAAAGCTAGAGGGTCCCCATCAAAAGATTTTGTGAAATTCTACTCGGTCGCCAATAAGCATACACATTTTATGTTTCTAATTTTGCTGACATGATTATTTGTGGAACATCATTTTCTGAATTGCTTAAGTTTGTGCTGATGTAAATTCCGTAAAGATGTATTATCACTTCCATTGTTTGATGGGAGCTTAAAATTTTGAACCTGTAGTTCTCTACCTTCAAACATGGAATTTAACTAAAATAAATAGGTTAATAGTAGATTAATATGTAGGAAATAGCATTCAATCATGTCTTTGCCCACTATCACAAAAATCTATCTTGTATATTTTTCCTGGCAGCTTTAAATGACTCTTGGCTCTGTTGACTAATCACAATATCTAAAGAAGCAAAGTAAGCATTAACTTCATATTGATTTTCACACAGTTCATCAACGTGATGCTTAAGTTGTTGTTATTGTTTTTCCTCTTCTTTTTTTTTCTTTTCTCCCTACATTTTTATCCTATCGAAGCATAGTAATCGGTTAAGGTGGATAATTCCCTTAGTACCTCTTTTCTGTCCTAACAGATTTCAAGTTGAGGCGAACAGTTAGATTTCTTTGCCATAGTCCTCTGCAACATAATGTACAGATCTTGGTTAATATCAATCCTTTCAATTATAGTTTCAGCAACTCTTAAACTCGTGAGTTCACAGTGAATAGTGATCGTCTTGTTCCAGAATTTGTAAACATCTCGTTTCATGTCTCCCACCTCTACTCTTCCAGATTTGCTTCTGTGCAACATAAAACCACGTAATTGGTTGCTTTTTTATTTTCCAAGTAGAGACTATGTAGAACTTCACTAGTCACATCCTACACATAATTTTTGGTCTGTATCTTTGCTGCTTGTAATACTCATATTGTCCCGTCCATAGCCATTTTTCAGCTTCATTCTTTCGGTTTTGTTTTTTGCGAAATTCATTCAATTGTAGATCGTTCATTTCATGAACGGTTGAGTAGTAACAGCAAGAAGAGGAAAAGTTTCAGTATGCAGCACATTCCCACTAGTTTATATTTTCTTCTTTTATTTAAATTTATTTGTATGTATATTTGTGTTCATAGGTGTCTGCTGAAGACAAGGGTACTGGCAACAGAGAAAAAATTGTTATTACAAATGACCAAAATAGGCTCACTCCTGATGATATTGAACGAATGATCAAGGATGCTGAAAAGTTTGCTGATGATGACAAGAAATTGAAAGAAAAAGTTGAAGCTCGAAATGAGTTAGAGTCGTATGCCTATTCTTTGAAAAATCAGCTCGGTGACAAGGAGAAGCTTGGATCCAAGGTATAGCACTTGTGCACACTAAAGTACTGTATTAACAAGATAGAATGCAAGATAATTTTGGAATACGTGTATTTAATATTGATTTTTAGTAAAAACCTAAATTGTATTTTGAGATATTATAGTTCAAATTTACTCACTTTTCACTTTCATTCTTTTGCTAGTGAATGATGAGATGCAATCTGTGTAAAATCAGTCTTCATTCATTCTGTTTGGAAATATTCTATTGATTGTTTCTATACTTCCAGGTCTCAGACAGTGATAAAACAAAGATGGAAACTGCAATTGATGAAAAGATAAAGTGGTTAGAGGAGAATCCAGATGCTGATACTGAAGAATACAAGAAACAGAAAAAGGACTTAGAAGATGTTGTTCAGCCTATAGTGACGAAGTTGTATCAGAGTGCTGGTGGTGCACCACCTCCAGGGGCAGCAGATGAAGATGAACTTAAAGATGAGCTATAATTTATTTCCAGTGACATTCAGTTACATGTGATTTGTGATGTGATAGTACTATAATTCACTATTGGTCTCTGACCAGATGAGTATTAATGTAACTGGCTCTTACCATCTGCAACTTCCATTGTGTGACAAGTGGAACGTACCAATTCGACTGTCAAAAACCAGCATTTCATCTAATTGATGGTGTCTCAGTAGATAAGCCTCCAAATCTTGTTGCAAATTGTTCATTCAATGCAACAGTGACTGATCCCATCTGTAGTTCAGTTAATATGGAGGTATTTGAAAATATTGTTTTGTACTTTCTTTTCTTGTAATGTTTATTATTTATTTGTTGTATATTGTGATTCTTGCTGCGATGTCTGATATAAGAAATACTATACAGACATTGATAGTGAAAATGGCAATAATCTGAAGCGATTGTGACTGGAATGAGAGTGTGTGTGTGTCCTTGTTGGAATAAATTTTTTCATATAATTTTGCATCTTATTAAATTCCTTATTATTAATTAAAACTTAAATTTTTGCTTGGTATATTTTCACACAACTTCCCCAAAAATGTAATTGTTGGCAAAGTTTGACAATCTTTCTAACTGCAATGAATTGTCGTTGTGAAGAATAGACGAAATTTTCAATTTAAAAAAAAATGTGGATCTCCACAAACAACTGCGGTATTACTAATTTCCAAAGCAAATGGATATTGAAAGAAAACTACACTACCTCCAGCCATGCGAGAGGTGTCTATGTATTGAATATCCAGGAACCCTCAAAAAATTAAAAAATGATCCAAAACCATTTCAATTTTGTCTGAAAGTGCAAATTTGGGATGATCTTACTTGCTTATTCTCATACTTGCTGCTTATGAAACAGCTGTCTTCATGTCAAGGCCCCAAGGAAGAGGCTACCCTCCAATGTATATAGGTCAGTTCATTATATAAAGCCCCCACACTGGTTTCAAAAAATTCATACTTCATATAAACATTCACATATATTTTGGTGGTTCAAAACCATATTTAAGAAATTTGTATGGTAAGTGGTTCACAAACTGTGGTTGTTTTTAGGGATAAAAGTAACAATGTTTTATTTGAGTAATATTTGCAATCAAATCTAATGAATGCAATCAATTTTGATTTTCAGAGTAATATTTCAAAGGAATAGACAGCTTCAATTTTTTCCGTGGTTTTAGTTACTTTATGTAAAATATCAAGTCGGTCTCCTTCCGCTTAAAAATTGGAATTTTTTTCAACTAAGATTTGTAGGGGATCAGATAAAACTTATAAATTTGTGCAAGTAAAAGTTTGCTGAAAGTATTAAAAAAATTATAAATATGTGCAAAGTGCTTCAATTGCACATTAAGGCTCTTTACACTATAGCATTGCATTGATGTGAATCGCCTAACACTGATGATGGCTGCAATGACACATTGATACATGCGTACGTGGTTCACGTAACGTGCGTCATAGATTAAGATAATGTGTAAGTAAGTGTATCTTATGCGTAACGACACAATTGTTCTTGGCAATGAGCGTTGTAGATTGAACTATTAGCATATATTTATCATACTTTATTAGCCAGGGAGAGGAATTCCATCTATTCTCCTCCCTGCAGTGAAGCGTACTTCTATCTATCCTGTTGTATCCCTGCTCCCTCTGCCTTGCTCCTATTTGGAAATGCGTGGTCTTCCTCCCACACTTCCTCACAAAAAATTATGTATAACACTTAGTAGGTTGATGACCCCAAACTACTCACTATAACGCCCAAAATTTTTGTCCAAACATTGAAATATTCAAAATAAAACTTCAATTTTTCAATGTTTAGACAAAATTGTCATGGAAAGTAAATTCAAAATAATTTTTACAAAATTTATTAAAATTAATGTATTATCATATGTAGAATATGTTAGAAATAATAAGTAAAATACATACAGTGGAGAGAAACCAATACCTTGGAAACGTGATGCCAGAGTGAGTACGCCGCCGTATTGCAGAGCGTATCTGGCATCTGATCTCTGGCACATTGGAATACCAGTATTGGGTGTGAGAGTAGCAAGAATTTTCGTCAGGGGGACAAAAGGGAATAAGAATTATCAGTAATGAAGTACAAGTGGTATAAAAATTATAATTTGAATTAGATAGCAATACAATTAAATTTCTCAAGGTTCCTAAACTACAATTAATATGAAATCAATAAAAAAGAAATGTAATTTTCTTGAAATATCAGAATAATATTTATAGACTATCAACATTGAACTAACTTCCTAAATTTCAATTAACAATTAAATGTTTCTTTGCTCTTCAGTTTTGTACTGTCTCAAGGACATAATAAATTACATTTCTACCTTTCTTACCCAAAATTGAAAATAATGGGGATACTTGAGAACTGAATAAATGTTAATGAAACAAAAGGATACACATTCAAAAATTGGACAAGTTTAATAAATTGCCATCTTAGTCAGCATTTCTTTCCATGTTCTTTTTTGTGATGTTTTTCCACACTGCTTTTAATTGTAGAAATTATGCACCCTTACTAAGTCTTTTAACTAATTTGTTTCTTGTAATTTACACTATCAATTGCAGAATTAATTGAGCAACCTCAGAAATTCTAATTGAAGTTTAAAATAATAAACGTGAACTAAGAATTTATGAATGATCTATACAGTTTTGGTGCCTGGCCTCCTTTGCAAGTTCTACTTCCATAGATGCTATGCCTCCCAAGTTGACATAAGTCGAGAATCTTTTCTTCTTGGCATCCCAGATCAACTGCTTTCTTAGTGACATACCAACAAATATAAGAGCACCTTCCTTCAAATGTGATATCTTGTCAGTTTTCATTTAAATATTTGAAAACTTCACTATTAGAACCTGTTTCACAATTGACAGAAGAAATCCACAACCTTAGTCCATTTGGATGAGGTAATGAAAATAATGATCAGACATTCTTATGTCTTAGAAGAATAAAAGCGCAAAGTAAGTAAAAACTGTTTCACAAGGTCTCAGTATCATGTTTCCCTTTTTATCACGTTTAGAATTTTGATACTGGTGTTTGATAAATTCAGAAAATACTAAAATTCTCTTCAAGAGCTGCTTCCAAGTCAGAATTCGAATGTCCTTTCTTTCTTAATTGTTTGTATATGTATATGTGACTCAATATTGTTATTAGTAGTATTAATAAATAAATTATAAGGTACTAACATAACACACTCACTAAAACTTATTTGCATGTACTGAGCGAAATGTAATGATTGATATGGTTAAAACTGTACCTCTACAGTCAAAGAACCATGCATAAATAAATTATTATTAAGTCATCCCGTGAAATATTCATCAGGCTGTGATTAGTCTGATCGTCCCAATCACTGGATACCTTAGCATGAGGTTTTCTCTTTGATTTTCACTCTAGTCCTCGTTGCGAGGAAAGTGATATCGTGAAATAAGTGATATGATAAGATTATTTTTTTCCACTCAAGAAGGCCTATTTGCAAGTTTAGCTTCGGATGAATTCTCATAACATAATATCTCAAGTTTGCATTTTCTGGACTATAGTTATTTTGTTTTTAGTTAAATAGAATTTTATTGTAGTTATTAAAAGTTTTGTGATGCTACCCTTCAGATCGAAACGTGCGCGCCTACTTCAGTGTCACGTCAGTGAGTAGTTGTCAAGTGTAATTGTTGTCAACGCGCAGTCTCGATTTTCAAGAAAAGTAACGACTAGAAGTCGTGCTTGTCAAATGTCGTAGCATATGCCATGACTTACACCACCATGGAAAAGGGCCTTTAACGTGTTGGTCCAACTTGCACAATTTGTTATGTGGTATTATACGCGCACTTTTTCTTGAGCCCCGGAATATCTACCCACATTTCTTTGCCAACATTAGATGATTTAAGAATAAACAACAACGAGCGATGTAGGCAAAATCTGATAACTAGAAATGTTCTCTCCCATGTATTAGAAACTATTTTGCGTCGAAAACGAACGAATCACTTAGATATTAAATTCCTTTTGTGAAAATAACCAAACTCCCCACTCCTCTCGCAACTAGCGAAGCGAGGGCTCTAAAAAATGTGCGCGGATAATATCTGCCATATGTCCCTCCACACGTATTTTTCGTTCCGCTTGTAATTAGTGGTCTAACATACTTTGTGATGGAAGCGGGATGGACGGCCAAGCGGGTCACAACATGCCATAGTTCATACCCAGGTCTTACCCATTCTCGTCCTGTCATTGCGTTCATGGTGTAGAAATTAGTACGCTCTCTAGCTTCTGTTTTCTTTCTTCAAGAATGGCTTTTGCCGCTGGAGAGAATTGTCGCAGAAACTTCTTTCTCAGGTCCTCTAGTAGGAAGGTTTCATTAGCTAGCACATATGTCAGTCGTGATGGTGTGTACTAGGTGGCATTAGGACACGCCGAGGGCTGAGGGCTCATTTCTGATAGGTACAGAGACTCACTTTAAAATTCGGTCACAGTCATATTCTAAAGATTTTTAATTTTTGAAAAGTCGAACGAAAAACAATAAAACTGATATGTGCATTCAATAGTATCATGTTAATTGCAACAGATCAAAATGATTGAACTCTACATAAACATTTTACATTTTGGGAGAAAAATAAAGTAGAAAGAATAATACATGTCACTTTAATATTCGGTCATTTAGAACATAATTATATAAACAATTCTGGCTACAGAACGAATATTTACAAACAAAAATAATTTTAAAATTTAGTGGCGCCGTTGCGATTTGAATATATCGTCGTAATCTGAAAACCCGCCCAAAACCACACTTGTTTTAATGCATATCCACCCATTAGCCCATAAATACTCTCTGCCTCCAACGTTGAAGCACTATCGAGCTTCTCTGCATGCGGCAGTTCAGTCTTCGCGCCATTTTTAATGGCTTCTGTGCAAAAACATTAAGAAGAATATATGAATCAATTTATGGACCCTGTCGGAAAGAGTTTTCGCTGGCATTTATGGACACGAGGGCAGCGGAATTGCGCAAACGGGGGCGGTGGTGGGCGTTTGGCCGTGGCGGCGACGGCGTACACAGACCATTAAGCGGCGAGAGCGATGACCCGTGTTGGCAGTGGGGCAGTAGGCACGCGTTGCGAATTGGATTGATTGCATTCATTTCACTTGATTGATTTTCGTTGATGATTCGTGATTGAAATTATTAATTGATTTCATGATTGCTTCTGATTGATTCGTGATTGATTCGTTGATGATTCATTGGTTGATTCATTGAAAGATTGATTGATGTTTTCCGGGGCAGAGCACACTGCTGTTTTCATTTATTCGCGTTTGTGTAATGTATGTTTCTATGCCCAAGATCGGTGGTGTTCCTTTCCCTATTAAATGGTGAGATCTTGGCCGCTTCCGAGGGCATTCCGTCTCCAGGTATCCCGCAGAGTCGACACCGCCTCATACGGCCAACTTGCTATACTTCGACTTTAGACGCAGGTCTGGTTGACGTAAATGCAGGTTGTTCGGTGTTATCCAATAAAATGCTTGGATGAGCGCCTACAGTAGTGGACGTTTAACCTGCCGATTGGAATGACACCGGTAACAGCTTGATGTCGTCAAAGGACCCTAGGAATACAATTCGAAAGTATAAAGCTTCCGACTGGCCTCCCAAACAAAGTTGTATTGTATGTAAGGTTGTGGAAGGGCAGAGGATAGGGCAAAGAAGAAGAAGGAAAGATCGCGCGCCGGCCCGTTGCCCGGTTATTCAGGGTACGTGCTCCAGCATTGCCTGGTAATCGATCGCGAAACCATTGAAAACTACCGCATTCAGAGCAGCCGTATTAAAATCTGCTTCAGACAAGCCGCTGGAATTCGAACAGCTAACAAGCTAGTGTCGATAACCCGCCACAGTCCGGATTCGAAACCCTAGAACCTCTCGCGCAGAGTCGCTGAGAGACCTCAGCTTAAGCTAATCTGAGCCGCGGCACGAGACAGCGGGAGGCGTTGGCGGGCTCAGCGCCCTGCGCTCGCGCCGGAGCTGGCCGGAGGGGCCGCGGCGAGCCACCCCCCTCCCCCCTCACCGCTCCACGCCGGGAGCGCGCCGCCGCAGCGCTTACCGTTGTGGCGAGTTCTATTTACTCCTAGGGCCACGTGGGCAGTGTGCCCTTCGAGTAGGAATTGCCTAGCGTTATGCGTTCATTTCCAAGAATTCAATTCATTTCCTTTTATTTGATTTTGCATGTTATCAATTTTATATCCTACGTAAGTTTTTCTCTGGCCGTCAGTTTTTACAGACAATTGAATACACACTC